GACTTCTCTTAAAAACATCTTGATTTTATTTTAATCAGTTAATTAATGATAAAGTTTTAGATAGGTTTTGGAAAACTTAAAAAAGTGAGTATTTTTGACTCAAGACTTTCTAATAATCAACAAACTATTGAATCACAACACAAACTTATACTAAACGGAAATAATTCTCAGGATTGATTTTTATATTTCCTTCTAAAGCCAGGAAAATAAAAATAGCACGACTTTGAATTTTTGAGAAACATAGAAATAATAATAATTTTTTTATTGTATTAAAAGTCGGTCATCAATCAATTAAATAACGACAAAAATATTTGTTCGAGCTTTTGTTTGCTAATGTCCGACATCAGACGCTGCAAGGATTCATCTGCATGAACGAATTAATGTTTAAAGTCAAACGACATGTTCTCATACTGTTTAAAAATTTTTTTATTACTCAAGTTAATGGCAAAACAGCATCAGATTTTGATGTTTCAATGTGATTTCCAAACCACCACAAAACAAGAGAATTTTCAATAATTTCTTGTTCATCAAATTCATTTTCTTCTCCATCATTGTTGAATTTGAATTGTCCAGAACTTGTCGCAAGAATTGGAAGATATGGATGAATATTGACACCTGAACAACTATCTTGGTGAAGTGGAAATTGAATTTCTTTTGGAAATCCATCATCATTGAGATCACGTAAATTCCAGATATGAACAATTCCTCGAGTGTCGCCACTTGCAAGCCAAGTTCCACCAGTTGAAATATCGAAATAAACCTTTTGATTATTTTCAACTTTTCGCATAAACTTATAGAGTGGCAATGAAAGATTTCTCATATCCCATAGCAAAAGATTTGAATCTTTCCTTGATCCAGAAATTAAATTCTCTCCATTCGAAGAATATTTGAGATAAGTCACACCACCTTTATGTCCATGAAGTGTGTCGATTGTAAGATAATCTCTCGTATCTATCAATGAAATTGTTTTATTCCAACTTCCAGCAGCAAGCACATTACTTTCATAATAATTCATTGCTAGACAAGAGATAGGTTGCTTTGTATTTATTGTATCATAATCACGACCAGGTACCGATGTTGTGAAAACTTTGATAGATTTTTTGTAGCCACCATAAATGCAAGTTCCATCAGGTGAAAAGCAAAGTGAAAGTGCCGCTTCCAGCTCGTCAGCGTAATCATATGCTCGATATGAACAACGAAAACTGCCATTAAAAGCATCAAACATTTTTATTGGTTCATTTTGAGCTGAAGATATCCAGAAACAAGTTTCGGCATCATAACTGGACATGAAAGGATACCAGCAAAAGTCGTAAATGTTTCCTACACTTTTTATACTTATAACAGGCTTAAAGAGAGTTATCTCTCTATCATCATTTATCTCTTCTTTTCCATATAGATCCTGAGGTAGTTCATAACAAAGCATTCCGTTAGCATTTATCGTACTAAGAATGCATGTGCCATCAGGCGAAAATAAAACACCTTTTGTGTAGTGTTGATTTGAGGTGTTTGGAAATGTGGCTTTTGCTACTTCTATTACTTTTTGCTCCTTAAAATAATGTTTTTCTTTTTCCAATAAATTCGAAGCTTCATTTTCATTTTTTTGTTGTGATGATTCTTCCTTCGACTCTTGAATGTTTTCTTCTGAAAAAGAATTAAAATTACTGTTTGTAAACATTTGATTGAATAAATTTCTTACCAAGTTGCTTGTCAATCTGTTTATCATCTGAGGGATCTTCATGTTCGTCACAATCCATTTTAAGTCAGTAAGTATGACACTTCTTTTACTTTTTGTTTCAAACAAATGCCGGAAAGATTTACACAAGGAAATAAATTTATATTTGTAGGGGGTATGTAATTTAATTGTTTATAAACTGATTACCCTTCCCCTTGGAAAGTTAAAATCTGGCCCACGAAGCTATCTGGTAAAATGTTGAGTTATTGTTGTCTAATTGAAGATTTGTAATTTCTATAATACCTAAAAATGCTTGATAATCGTTGTCGCGTTTGCTTAGCTGCAGAAGAAAATGTATTATTGGATTTGTTCTCCGTATACAGCAATTCTAATTATGTAGAAAAAATATATTTTTGTTACGGAATTAAGGTTTGTTTACATTTTTTTGCAACCACTTAAGACAACATTTTGATGAAATTTTCTCTCAGATTCACCAAAAAGATAACATGCCGCAGAAAATATGTAAACCTTGTCTTCAAAATGTGGATTTAGTTTTTCATCTCAAAGATCAATGTTTAAAGATAGACAAATATTTAAGGAAGAAACTTAAAGATGAAAATCAGAATGAAAACAGGAATCAATCTCAAGTTGAGTTTACTTCAAAAATAGCAAGAGAATCAATTAAAAACAAAGATAAACCACATAGAAAAATATTTTTAAGGACCAGAATTCCCAATAATGAACAGAAAGATCCAAATAAGCTATCTAGAAAACCTTTATCGAGTGACTTTCGATGTTTTATTTGTGAAGAAACATTTGGATTAGTAAAGGATAAGAGAGAACATGTTATTCAAACGCATCTAAATGATAAAAGATGTCGTGTTTGTGATAAGCTTTATAAGACAGCTTTTTCAACTGAACGTCATACAAAGTCACATTTTATCAACGATAATGTTTTCCTTTGTCCCGTATGTGCAGAAACTTTTATCAAAAAGTTCTCGTTAGAACGACATTTGGAACAAATGCATGGTGATTCTTCTTCATTTTATCATTGTGATCTCTGCCATAATTGGAAAACAAAATATAGAACAAATTTGAGACGTCATATGAATTCTGTACATCTGAACATCAAACAGTTTCGTTGTCCACATCTGTCAACATGTCCAAACAAATCCTTTACGGTGAAGGAAACTCTTAATTTCCATCTAGTCAAACGGCACAATGCTGTGTTTATAAAATGTCAGAACTGCTCGGAAAAATTTGATACTGAAAGTCAACTTCAGGAGCATTCAAAAAGTGGACGCTGTGTGCCAAAAAGTTTTAAGAAGAGAAATCGCGTTGAAAAAATTACAACTTTATCGGAGTCAGCCTCAGGATTTTGTTGTGAGATTTGTCAACGAGTCTTCCTTAGGCGATCGCAATTTAGTGTTCACTATCACCAAAAACATAAAGCAAACCTAAATTGCAAGTTTTGTAATAAAGAATTTTCACATTACGCAAATTTATTACGGCACATAAAGGTGAGAAAAAAATTCCTACTCCATTCTGAAGTTGAAATTTTATTTTATTTACTTACAGACAATACACGAACAAGAAAAAAGATTCTCTTGTGAAATTTGCTCGAAATCTTTTTCACAGAAACATTCATTAATTAATCATATCAACATACACACTGGTAAGAGATTTCAACTAAACAAGCACAAGAATTTAAATTAATGAATTTTCTGTCTTATAGGTGATAAACCTTTCAGTTGCAATGAGTGTTCATTTCAGACGGGAGATCGATCAACACTTGCAAAACATAGAAAGAAATGCAGCTCAGGTTTACTGAGGAAAGACTGATTTTTTATAAATTTTAACCGTCATATTGATTTCAAATTGGTAAATGCGCCATCTCTCGTAAAATTCTGCAATGTATTGTGACATCATTGTGAAAGTGTTAAATTCGAGAAAAAAAATTACGAGAAGCGTGCTTCGGCCGATCAAATGTTTCTTAAATTTGCGTTTTATACGTTTCTAATCACTCTCAGTGCATCAAAAAACACTGGAAACAAGATTCAATTTGAATTCAAGGAGTTTGATTTCAAGGAAACAAGCAAAAATGTAAGTAAAATTGACTTTTTTCCAAAATCGATATTTCTTTTATGCGATATGACGAAATTGTTTTTTTTTTCTCTTTTCTTCTGAATTTTGGTTTTCGCACTTAAATTTTATTTTTTATTTGATGTTTCTTAAGTTTATTCCATCACAGTAAAAGTTTTGAAATTATTCTTTCATTTTTAGTAAATTTGTAACAAAAACAAAAATAAGTTGTGAATCAAGAAATTAAAACGAAGCAGGCTATGGACAAGGAGAACAAAAACAACACCGGTTCAAGTGAATATATACAACAATCATCGGTATCATCAACAACAGCAAGTACGAACGATGAAAATAGCAACGAATCAATTGAACTGAAAATTGGAGAATCTTATTTGGTGAAGAAACATGACAATGAATGGCATCCTGCTACAATAATACAAACCCGTGTTGATTCTTTCAAAAATACCGAATATTACATTCATTACGATGGAATTAATCGTCGTTTGGATCAGTGGGTAACAAGAGACAGAATCAAACGAATACCACCAGAGGAACTTCAAGAATATCGGAAACAAAAGTCAACAATTGCCGCAACAACTTTAATTCCGATTGATTCAACTACAAATGGGAGTCTTGTTGTGGGCGGAACACCAGGCGGTGATAGTGATCGTAAAATAACAAGAAACCAAAAACGACGACATGACGAAATCAATCACGTTCAAAAAACATTCGCTGAAATGGATCCAACAACAGCTGCTTTAGAAAAAGAACATGAAGCGATCACAAAAGTCAAATATATTAACAAACTTCGTTTTGGAAAGTTTGAAATTGAAACGTGGTACTTTTCACCTTACCCAGAAGGATATGGTAGAGTTGAAACACTCTACGTTTGTCAGTATTGTCTCAAATACATGAAATTCCTGAAAACGTACAAGCAACACTCCAAAGAATGTAAAATGCGGCAACCGCCAGGCAGTGAAATTTATCGAAAAGGAACAATTTCTGTGTTTGAGATTGATGGAAAAGAGCATAAAGGTTATTGCCAGAATCTTTGTTTAATGGCAAAACTTTTCTTAGATCATAAAACACTTTACTATGATGTCGAGCCGTTTTTCTTCTATGTTTTGTGTGAAATTGACAAGAGTGGTCAAAATATTGTTGGATATTTTTCCAAGGAAAAAATCTCGCCAGAGAACAACAATGTTGCTTGCATTTTAATTCTCCCGCCGTATCAACGTAAAGGCTATGGAAAGCTTTTAATTGCATTTAGTTATGAACTTTCAAAGCGTGAAGGAATAATAGGATCGCCAGAGAAACCTTTAAGTGATTTAGGTCGATTGAGCTATCGAAGTTATTGGGCTTATACACTTCTTGAGCTGTTAAAAGAATGCCGAACAACTTCACAAACTGTCAAAGAGCTAAGCGAACTCAGTGGAATAACCCAAGAAGATATTATTCAAACATTACAAAGCATGAAAATGGTGAAATATTGGAAAGGATATTATTGTGTGACAGTAACACAAAAGACGATTAACGAGCACCTTGCACTTCCACAATTTAAAAGACCAAAGTTGATGATTGACTCTCATTATCTGCGATGGACGCCACGACGCAACGTCAACCCGAACGCTTCGAAATCTCAAAAATAATTATTTAAGCTTCATTTTTTTTTAATTTTCTTATATTACTTTCTTAATTATTTTCATTTGTTCATGAATAAAAAAACTTAGATTTTAAATATTTGCCATGTTAAGAAATAAAAGTATGAAAATATTTATAAAGATATGTTCGTGCTTGTGGTTCTTTTTTTCTTTAATTACAGGAAATGAAATTGTTCAAAGAATTTCAATCAGCATGTGAACAGAGCTTGAGATGTGGAAAAATGAACAACGAGTCAATTCAGTGGAAGAATTGTGTTTACGAGTGCGTGTCGCCGACTTGCTACAAAGAAATTTACGAGTTCGATGAGGTTGGTACATTAAATATTTCTATAATTAATTTAAATCGTAGCAAGCGTTCATAAAATTCCTTCTAAATTTCAAGTGCGAATAAAAAAATTCTCTTAAAATTTTGATGTTATGAATGTATCAAGAAATGGCTTTAAAGTTCACAAGCTTACCAAGCCTTATGGAAATTATTCAAAAGAAAAAATGAATAATTTATATTGTGAATCTATTGAAAGTAATTGCGAGTCAGTTTCATCAATTGAAGAATGTTGTCAAAAGGTGAAACAAGAAGTCACTACATGTCCTATGAAAGCTTGTCTCAAACCAGGATGTTCTCAACGAATGCCATGCATTTGTTGTGTTAGAAAAGGATGTCGACCTGTGCTGCAATGCAAAAGGAATTGTTTGAATGAAAAAGCATGTTGTGGTCCATTTTCTTCAAAAGAATCTGATGAACACACGAGATTAAGAGCACGATCAGAATTGAGAAGTCGATGTTCGAAAGACGAGTGTGCAAATGTGAATAAGAACAACTCAAAATGTATAAAAAGGTCACTTTCTTCTAGTTTGGTATGTGAAGATATGTGCTGTGAACGGAAGCAGGAAAAAGAAATGCCTAAAAGAAATTGTCAGAAAGCATGTCTTAAACAAAATTATGAAGATGAAGAGTCTTGTAGTTCCAATGAAATTGACTTCATAAATAATCCTTGCATAGTAACTTGTAAAAGCAAGAATAAATGTAATAATTCACCGAAACCACCATGTAAAAGATCAGAAAAAAGATGCACAAAGCAAGTTTCAAATTGTTGTGAAAATGAAAATGAAAATTGTCAGAAACAAAGAAAGTCAAAATGTTCTGCGAATCCTTGCGATAATTCAGAATCAAATCATAATGTACGAGATCGACAGAAAGTAACTTTTGACAGTGATTGCGAGTCGATTCCTACAACAAATTGTCGACCGCCAACTCCAGTAAAATGCAAGGAAGCTTGTCCTGAAAGTGAAAAAAAGAAAGATTCGGTTCCATCATGCAATTGCATTGTTTGCGTGTTTCGTGATAATTTGAGTGGATATCATAATGGACCTTCTTCTTGTGACTTACCACCTGAACAAATAAACACGATGCCAAATTATTGGATGGTTGAAGAACCCCAAATGTTGCCCCAAGTTTGTTTTCCTTGTGCAAAACCTTGCCCAAATCCCACAATTTATCAACATTCTTACTCACCACCTTGTCGTGGGAATCCTAAAACGCAATTTTAATAAACTTTCTATTTATTTTTAATTCTTTTATTCTAACCAGTTGGAAGAAGGTGAAATTGATGTTCGTTTGACTTCATTTAAAGGCTGCTTTGTGCAACGTGTTGGCTTCAGTAGAAATTAAAGAATCAATTAGGTTTGCTTCTGCAAATTTCATGATTAATTTAATTAAAGTATCAAATTTATTCTAATAAGTAATTTTGTTTAATATGTAATTGCTAAAAGACTCTTCCAGAGTCTCGAATTTCTGAAACAGGAAATAACATGAAATTGCTTATAGTACAGAAAAATTAATTAATTAACATTATCATGGCAATTGTAATAAAATATTTTGAATGAATGTATTTCAACTGAAATAAATAAAAATTCTCGATTCGAGTTTTATTACAAGTAAATAAAAGTAGTTGTAATTAAAATCACAATTCTTCTAAGATCTGCTTCAAATATCCATATACACAACATAACAACCACTAATCGCTGCAAGTAAACTAAAAAAACTGGCAGCATAAAGTACTGCAGCGACTGAATCAATGAGTGTAATGAATGATCCAATACTTAGCGACATCGTGAATTGTGCAACAAATAACATTGAACCAACAATTCCACAATCAGTTCCAAGACCACGTTCAAACTCCACAGGGGGCTCAGCTGTATCAGGGCTACTGTCAACTCGTTTAATTTTAAATGTTCCCTTTCCATGGTATTGTGCAACCAAAAGAAAAGGAATATTAAATAAAGTTGCATAAACAATGCCAGCTGCTGATGAGAATACAAGAACTCCCAATTTTGTTGGATAATAACCTGAGATATATAAATGAAATTTCTACGATGTTTATTAATAAAATAAAATTTAATTAATTTTTCTCACCTAAAATTGCCATCGCAACCGAGAAGTTCAACATCGCACCAACAAAAACTTTCTTTGCTGTAAATCGTTTGATCATTCTTTCAATTATCATTGAATAAAAAGCACATGAGAGAGAGTCAAGTGCCAGTC